CTCCTTTTCTCACTTCTATGGGTGAAATTAAAGATTTAATCTCTTTGGTTAATAAAACCATGTTTTGTTTTTCAAAAGATATTGGAATTTGAGGTCTCTTGCAAGTAAATATAATTGCACAGATGACAGACTCTGTATGAAAGACGGATGGCTAATCCTAGCTAGGATTGGGCACATTGTAGTCTATAGTATAGAATGAGCTCTTTGATTATTTTAGGTCCCTGAGAAACATATTGTGATGAAGTGGAGGTTTAAATCTTGGCCAGAGGGTAAGTAAGCATATTTGGTTTTTGCTATTACCCTCAGAACTTTTTCTTTCCTCCCTAGTCAAACTCAGGTGGAAACCCTAGATCTGAAACCTACCCCCTCTCCCTTTTCCCCAGGGCACTTTGCTACCATCACTTTGACCTTCATTGACAAGAATGGAGAAACTGAGGTTTGCATGGAAGGCCGAGGCATCCCTGCTCCTGAGGAGGAGCGGACGCGGCAGGGCTGGCAGCGGTACTACTTTGAGGGCATCAAACAGACCTTTGGCTATGGCGCACGCTTATTTTAGGGCCAGCAGCAGGGGCCTCCAGCCTGCCCAACACTTCAGTCCAGCCCTCTCCTGACTGGGGCTTGTGACTCACAGGATTGCACCATCCCAACCGCTAACTTGGGGCCGGGGCCCCTGCCCTCTACATATACCTTGGGTTTGTGCATGTTTTTGCTGGGTGGGATCAGAGGGCAATTTCTTTTATGTGTACATACGCTAAATAAACATAATTTAAAAAACATCCATGTCTGGAACCTTCGTTTATTTCAAAGTGTATGACTGGTACTAAGTTAATTTGAAGGTTTTTTTTAAAAAAAGATGAATGGTAAGGGGATCTTAACCCTTGACTTGGTGTTGTCAGCACCACGCTCTCCCAAGTGAGTCACGGGCCAGCCCCCTTTGAAGGTTTTGAATTCAAGAAAACAGGAGGGGTTAGAAGGCCTGGTCTCCATTTTGGGTACATGTAGGTAGTTAAGTAGCATGAAGGGAGCCTGCTTCCCACTACCAGGCATTCCTGAACTAGTCTCCTTTCATACTACAGTGGTAAAAAGGTTATGCCTGTTTACGAGAAAAAGGGTAGGGTTGGTGCTCTGGGGTAACAATGCTAACAAACACTATGCCACTATTGCTGGTGGAGGTGACATCCTGGGCTTTGCACCTCTTAGAGAAATGATTACCAGAGGGCTGCCCAGTTAGCTCAGTTGATTAGAGTGCACCAAACTCAAGGTCACGGGTTTGGATCCCCATACTGGCCAGCTGCCAAAAAAGATGATTATCAGGTGCTGGCTTGAGATGTGAGAAGATGGAGATTTCCAACCTGTGGCAGCTTCTGTCTACTGAGAGGTTACTGTGTGGCAGACAGTGCACTCAGCAGTTTCATTACGTTAGCTCATTTAACCACTATAGTAGCCTTCTGAAGTAGGTTCTAGCATCAGTTGTTTTTCAAGAACTTAAGCCCTGGATTTATTTATTTATTTTTGATATTTTATTTTTATATTTGCTATAGGTTAAGTTTGTCTTGGATTTCTCAAATAACATCCCAGATCCAACAATTGAGACTAAGCAGAGTTGGGATTTGGAACAAGGACCATCACTGCAGAGCCTTTCTCAAGTCTAAACCACTATTTGCCTTGTCATTGGGTTCATCTCCACAGAGAAGCTGGTGCATTTCTAGTATATTTCTACTGCTGGATTGAAAATTCCAGGCCTCTTAGTACTCCCAGAAAAAGAGGAAGAAATCTGTGTCATTACAGTATTTTTAAATGCCCAGTACGTTTGCAGAGCGCTAATTATGTGCTGAGTGCTGGGTATGCATTCTAGTGGAGTTCAGACTGCCACACTGCTGGAAGAGGAAACGTACCTGAACAGGGAGAGGCACTTTCCTGGACAAGCCCCGTCTTGGCTTCTTGCACCTCAGCGTGAGTCAGTGCCCTCTAAAACCAGACAGTATCTCCTGCGGCTACTTTTATTTCCTTCATCTATTCTTACCTGTTTTACTAGGTGGCAGTGAGGCCTGCAGGCTAACCCTACCAACATGAGTTGGCCAAAACTTAGTAGTTAAAGGAGAAAATCAGAATTCTGATCGGGAACGTTTAGACCCCAGAATCCATTTTGGCTTGAATTACTCAAGATGAGTGATAGACTGAACTAATTTGCATCTAATTCCTAGGGGTGCAAAAAGACACCTTTGGATAAAGAACCTGGACTCTAGCTTGAGTCAAATCAATGGGCTCTTCCAAACAGAGAGACCATTAACAAAATAAGAGGCCTTTCATGCCTGGCTGGAAAGGTACGAGTTCCAGAATACTTAGGAAGAAGTCCAAAGTAGAGATTATAAACACCTTAGTAAAAACCAAAGCACTAGGTTAAGTGCCTGACACTGAACCAGGGGCCCTCTTATTTTGTGGGCCTCATCCTGGCTCTGATACTAGCTGCTCCTAAAACCCTCCTTTTACCAGGTTCAGTGACCCCTCCAATTGTGCTGCTCCTCACACACAGGTGTTCCTTAAGCCTGCAGCCACCCACACAGTGATTCTTTCTCTTTTGCATAGCTTGAATAAATACCATTTCATAGTATTCCCCAGCCCCTTCAAGGCCCCTATCCAGCCCTTTTTCTTTAGTTTTCTTTAGTTTGTTTGGTTTTTCGCAGCTGGCTGGTACAGGGATCCAAACCCTTGACCTTGGTGTTATTGCACTGTGCTCTAACCAACTGAGCTAACCACCCAGCCCCCCTTTTTCTTTAGCTTCTCTCATCAGTGGCCAGACATGGTAGCAATTTAGTGTGTTGCTTAGATTACAGATTTAAAATGGGGCTAAATTCAGTTTGGGTAATAGGCAACCATCACGTATAGATCAAATTTGGAAAGAGTATTTAAATGCCAAGGTAAGTTATATTAGAAAAGGAGGGGAATTAGCAGTTCCTGTGAAAAGAGACTCCATGATGTCCCTATCTTGTTATTAAAAACAAGTTTCTACTAAAAAATAATTAAAACATGATTGTGCTTATCTTACTGATTTCTTCAGATGAGAAAGGGAGTGAACTTGGCTCCCATCTGGTGACCTGAGATCCTGCCCTCTCTGACCCTATAAAATTCTAGTTGTACCAGAGTATTTTTATGCTGTTGTTGAGGCCCAGACTAATAAAGTTACCTCTAGGTGTGATGGTAATTGGAAACATCTGGTTCTCTGAGCACCAAGTGGCAGCTCTGGACATGCCTTCCTTCGCTATACTTCCCTGACATGTCAGTCCTTCCCGAAATGTCAGGAGTGACCGTGGACTGTCTGGTAAGGGTACCAACTAAGGCAGGGTACAGCCCACTTCTCATTTTGTAGGTGTAGTCCTTTGGGCAACTCTGCCTTGGAGAGTACTTGGAGAAGTGGGGCTACTTCCTCATGGAGTAAATGCAGCTTACGTCTCTGACCAAAGTTAAGAGTGAATGCGCCTCTGAGGTCCAACCAGGTCTCCCAGGCAGCCCTATACAAGTGTGAATAGGGATAAGCTATGTTTACAGTCTAACCTCTGCATCCCAGCAGATCTGCCTGCCCAGCTGGCTCCGGAAGAGAAAAGGAGCTGGCTGTGGGTTAAGTAACTACAAACACAACCCATGACAGCTTGTCTTGGGCTGTAAGTGGAGGCTCTCTATACCCCTCTGCTCTACTGGGGCCTGAAATTCATCAGACAGAATTAGAAAATAAAGTGCTTTATTGCTGAGGATCCCAGAGAGCCTCAGGGCAGCTGTCTCAGGGCTAAAACTGAAGTCCTCTACCTTTGGAAGCTTTTGTGAGCAAAGACAGTTGGGACGTCACATTTCAACCCCACAGAAGGCCAGGAAGTATGGTTTTGAGGCTGAGGGGAAGCGAGGAAGAGGCACAACATGTGCTGAGAGAGCCGATGATATGCGTCTCTTCCCAGCTCTAAGCTAAGTGCATTCAGTGACTTCACAATGGAAGCTCAAAATGGGCCGTTGCTGGGAGTATTTACACCACAGAAATTACCCAAATGCTACAAATCAGGGTTTTTCCCCCTCCCAGAAAGTGGGTTTACTATCACCACAGGTGCATGGCACACTGTCCTGAGCCAGTTCTGAACCCACCCGAAGCCTGGCTGCTGTGATGAGCTGCCACTTCCCCACTGGCGGCAGTGCCCACTCCCTTCCTACAGTCTAGGCAGAATGGAGGGCACTGAACAAAGGAAAGAGATGAGGACTGGGTGACCCAGTCCCTGCCTGGAGCCTCAGCTGCCTCAACTATCTGTCCACCCAGGCCCCACTAATGGCCTGCAGCCTCAGACTAAAGTGACGTCCACCTAAAAGGCAGCTTGGACCTAAGGACAGCCCCCCTGTGCAGTGGTGCACAGCAGGGGGTGAGGCAGAGCGGCATGTGCGCCACCCAGAAGTAAGGAGGGGTGGTCACCCAGGACTGAAAGGCAGCCTGGCATAGGCAGCTGTGGGATGGGATGAGTGGACTGGCTCTTCCTGTCATCCCCCTCAAGCCCTTCCTAGGCTGGCCAGTAGGGGTGGGGTTCTGAGTGACTCACAGCAAGTCCTAGGAATCAGGATGTGTCTGCAGTGCCAGGTTCACACCTTTGTGTGGAGTCAGGACAGAAGAGCCCAGCTCCGAAAGAGGGAGAAAAGTGAGAGGCCAGGCTGGGATGGCATCTCTCTACAGGCAGGAGAGGGAGGCCCCCGCAGACACACAAGGGCACACACATTCCCAGTGCACCCCCAGGGACTGTGCGGACCGGGCTGCCTCCCTTCACCCTGGGTCCTATATACTCTTCAACCATTTTCCCAACCCCACCACATCACCTGGGGCCTTGACCTGCCTCAGGGTCATAGGCAGAGGGCATGCAGCACCAGACTGCCTCACTGGTCAAGATCTGGCACTCACCCAGACTGGGCAGGGGTGGAGTGAGGGGGCCTGCCAGGAAAGTTCTCCCTGCAGTCTCTGCCCAGCAGCCCCCTCATTAGTATTCCTTGGCCTCCTGCAACTGGGCCAGGTACTCCTCCTCGGGGGGGTTGTCGGTGCAGGCCCGGCCATTGTTGGGGGGCCTCGCAGCGTGGTAGCGGCTCCAGTCCCCCTTACACAGGATCCAGGGCAGCGTGTCAACCTGGAAGTGTAGCTCAGGCGAGAAGTCAGTGCTGATGAGGTCGGGCGCCCCAGCGCCCTTGCCACGGGTCAGCAGCCGGTTGCCCTCATCGTAGCAGCAGTGCTGCGCAGCCAGTGTGCTGCTCTCCACGGACAGCAGGGAACGTAAGCAGAAGCGCGCTGTGGGCTGGTAAACGTCCAGGCGCTCGCGTGGGCCACTGGCGTCCCTCCACCGAAAGCTGCGTCCCTGGTGCTCGTCCTGCAGGCTAACAGCACTGTACACGGCCTCCAGCGGGTATGCACAGGGGCAGCTGGGCAGGTCCCGTAGCACCTGGCTCAGGTACTTGGCTAAGAAGTCACTCTTGCAGTTCAGCCACTTCTCACAGCTGTCCACATCTGCAGAGGGCAGGGAAGTCCAGGGTGGGTGGGAGGAGAGCCAGTCAGGGAGCCAACCAGCCCAATGATGGGGTGGGGGCTGACCAAGGGCCAATGCACAGGGAGAGAGATGCAGAGGCATGGCCTGGCAGGGTCTTAAGGGCAGGAGTGGTACCCATATCAGAGCTGGGGCAGATAAGGGCTACCCCTCATTCCCCAGGCAGCCTGAAGCAAGAGCCTTTGCTCAGAATGGACACTGCTGTGGAGGACCCCTGCTGTGCCAGGTGTCATCTCTTTAGGTGCTGAATGGTAGGAAAGATCCTGGGATCTTGGGGAAGGAACTGGGGCAGGTGGAGACAGGGATAGCAGTTTTTATTGAACCAACTGGTAAAAAATGTTTGAATAGTCCAGCCACTTGCTCATTCTTGTTCTTAACACTGCCTTTCTCAGGCTGTTTGACCTTGGGTGGGTCGCTGCCACTCTGGGCCTCCTGTGGCTTCCTTTGTCTATGCCACCCTCCTCCCCTTTCCCTACCTCAGGAAATGTGACCTGATTCTGGCCACACAGAATATATTGCTCCTTCCTCTTTCCACCCCGTCCTCTGGGCCCATTTGGCAGTGTAGTGCCCACATAGGTTATGTGTGTCTCTTGCCTAGATCAGAGCTCTTTGAGGGCAGTCTCCTGGGAATCCCCTGTCCCTGCACAGTGCCAGGTGCATGACATGGACTTAGTAAGCTTCTGCTGTGAGGCACAGGCCTCATCCACGCAGTGGGGCTACCAACAGCTGCCTGCTTTCCTTGTGAGGTGCAAGTGAGGCCAAGAGACACACACTGGGAGTGCCATGGTGAAAGCATGGCCCACTGCCAACTGCCTAGAAGGAGCAGCCCTAGAGTTCCAGACCCTGACCCACTAATGACAGCACCGCATGCCCCTACCCAGACAGAGCCTGCCCAAAATCCTCCATACTGACCAGGAAGTGGAAGTCAGATCACCACCCCATCCTGCTGCTAGGGAGGACATGCCCCACTGGGTGATCTCCAAGCTCTGTGACTCCCATCAAGACCTTCTTCCCAGTAGGAATATCAGGCTAGGTAAGGCTGATGGTCCTAGCCCAGAAATGCTAGAGCCCCCCTTCTGGGGAAGAAAGCTGTTCACCTGGAAGATGTACTCTCTGCCTCAGAGGATGGAGGCCAGGTTTCTGCCATGCAATAATGTTCCACCCTCCTAAGAGTGGTTCTTCCCCAAACCCCCAGGGACACGGACTAGCCCCAAACTGACCTGGGCCAAGCATGTCCGTAGCATTGTGGGTCAGGGGCCGCCACCCCTCACCGGGGAAGCCCAAGGTGTCCTCATCCTTGGTGCCTTTGGGAAGAGAGGAGGCCATGCTGGTGGCACCCCAGGGCACATCTGTGCTCCTGATGGGGAAGCCCAGCCTTCACTAGGCTCTCGGTGCCCACAGTAGTTGGGACAGGCCTGGGACAAGGCAGGATCACCATGTTTGCGAGCTTCCTGTGTCCCCTCTCCCAATCCCATCCCTCATACAAGGGTCACAAACCCACATCCCACAGGGTCCAAGCACAGAGTCTAAGCCACACCAGCCACTCCTCTACAGGGGCTGGGGCTTATCTCACCAGCACAAAGGGGCAGGTTGCAGGCACGGGACTCGATGGCAGTGCAGGCGTAGCCGCAGGGCCGAGTCCTCCGTTGGCTGCTGTTGCCGCAGCTCCCATTGCAGGGAGACCAGGGGCTCCACTCTTCCTGAGGCTCATAGTCTGCATCAAGGTCAAGGCAGAGAGCCTGGGGTGAGTGCACATAGGTCACAGTGCACATTGGTGCAAATTAGCCAAAGGCATCCCTTCCTTAGATGACTGCAGCCCGTGCTAGTGCTCCCAGCCTAATAGATGGAGCATGGTCTGGATTTTGGCCCCACTCAGTCCCTTATCTGTGGAGTCTTGTGCACTGAACAGCCTGCGCAAATGTATCAGGTGGCCCTATAGAAAGAGCACAATCCCCAGCCACACCCCCATACCAACACAGCAATGAAGAGGAAAAGTTATCTGGGGCTGGAAGTCACCTGACCGCTGTCATAGTGGCTTCAGGCAAGTCCCCCTACATCTCTGACCTATAGTTTTTATGTCCAAGGGTGACAAAACTTCCCTGGTCCTGGGGATATTAAAGAATGACCTGCTGACCATGTTAGGGACCCACTCATAAAATACACTGGCTGGGCCTGCAGTTCTGAGGCTATGCAGTGCCTGAGATTCAGTGCTGTCTTTGGAACCCCCAAAATAATGACACAGACAGTTCTCTCCTTGTTTCCCAGGCAGGCCAGAGCAAGCTGGTACTGAGAGCTGAAGGATGGGGCTGGCCAGTTAGCTCACTTGGTAGAGCCTGGTGCTGATAACGAAAACGCCAAGATCAAGGTTCAGATTCCCATACCAGCCAGCCAGCCAGCCATCAAAGAAAAAAAAAAAAAAAAAAGTTTAAGGAAAATTAATAGGAGAAAAGCTGAAAGTCATGAAAATTCTGTCAGCTTACATTATTTTGGTGAATCGGGAAGAGGCTGTCCTGACTTAATCTTAATTATAGGAAACACAGGCCAATGACACAATACCAGGGCTCCCAGGAAAACAGCTGCAATTATGCCTAACACATATCTGCACCCAGAGAAAACCCAAACCTCAATATGCAAAAATAAAAATCATCATCATGGGGGACTGGCAGGCCTTAGGTGATATTTTCTGAATAGTCTGTGCTTTTATGTCTTGTTCTAATAAAAATAATTAAAATAACCAATATGTCATATGCTGCCACTTTACATGTATTAACTCATTTAATATTCTCTAGAACCAATCCTATGTAATAAAGGTTGTATCATTGCCCATTTTATAGTAGAAGGAACTGAGGAACAGAGACGTTAAGTAACTTGTTCAAGGTCACTCAGCTGGTAAGCAGCAGAGCCAGGATTCCAACTCGCAGTCTGAAAATGAAGTCAGTTGTGATTGGTGGGATTTATATATTTCTCAGTTTGTTGGAAACTAATAGATATAAATATACATGTATTAACAAATGTCTTCTGCAGGGCTGTTGTGAGGGTCAAACATTGTTTGGGAAAAAAAACAACTTTGCAACCTATTGGTCATGTTGCTTTTGAGCTGATGATGGCGTATATACGTGCCTCAGCTCCTAGCCTCCCCAGCTGCCCCCACTCGGGAAGCCCTCAACCCTCTCCTCCACCCCCATTTCCACCCAGGATCTACAGGGGCAGCATCCTGGGGATGCCAAGACGGGGGTGCTCACCGTAGCTGTCTGGCTCCTTGAAGGCCCAGTCCCTGGGGGCCAGCCAGCCCTGGTCCCTGCCATCTGTGGCCCCACCAGACCAAGGCTCCTCCTCCTCATCCTCATCTTCCTCCTCGTTGGCCTCCTGGTCCTCACCCTCACTGTACTCTGCAGGGTAATCCTCCTCCTCCTCCTCTTCTCCTGGGGCTCTGTTCTTGAGACCAGTGTCCCCATCCTCGCCCTCCACATAGCCCCAGAAGAGGGGCCAGAAGAGCTCTTTGGTGGCCAGCCAGCTAGGAGAGCTCTGGGGCCAGCGACTGCTGGGTTCAGCCAACAGGTCCATTTCCGCCTCAGCCTGGGGGTCCTCTACCACCTCGATGGTTACCTGCAGGGGGACAGACGCCAGGCCGGTCAACAAGGGAGGGCTCAGAGCTGGACCCCAGGGAGAGGCGAGATGATGGGGCTGAAGGCAGAGGGGAGAGGTCCAACCTTTCCTCCAAACTGGCTGTCTTTTCTTGGCTGACTTCTTGGGCTCTCAGGGCACAGGGACCACACACGGCTTTAGACCTGAATGTGCAGGAGAATCACCTGGACATTCTGACTCTCAGACCCAGATTGATTTAACTGGTCTGAGGTGGGGCCAGGCACGGTGGTTCTAATACATGCCAGGATCGAGACCCACTAGTGTTAAGAGGGGCTGGCCTGGAATTCCACACACAGACAGGCTACCTGACCTCAGGGACCACTAACAGCTTTGAGACTCCATGTCCTCATGGTAGGGCCGGAAAATGACAAATTCCCACAGCAGCCCTTGGTAGGAGCTCTCTTTCACTGCATTATGGGGTAGGAAATAAGTAAGATGAAATCATTTATAGGAAACTGAACTGGAAAAACATTATTTTTGGCTATAATAAAGTAATATGAGTTCACTGAAGAAAATTTGGGAAAAAAACTGAAGTATAAAGAAGAAAATAAAAATCATCTATCTCTCATCACTGACAGATAACCTTCCAGTTTTTTGTATACATGCATGTGTGTGTGGATAGATAGATAGATAGACACTACACTTTAAAACAATTTTGGAATATTATATTCTATACTTTGGTGGTCTTTTTCTCTTTTGATGAAAGTGTTTTGCAGACTGTAGCTGCAGAATGATTATCATTAGAGATTAGGACAGGCAATGGAGTATGTGAATGGAATTCTGCCAGCCCCTCTGTGGTAGCCCCCATGCCACTAGCCCACCCCTCTTCTGTACCCACCTTCAGGGGCCTGCAGTAAGGGGTTGGGCCTGGCAGGGATCAGGCCTTTTCCAGGAGGCCTCCCCCAAATTTCCTGAATTCGCTGCATTTCCCACTTGTTTAGTCCTCACGACAGCCCTGCCAGATTGATGCTGTCTGTCCCTCACTATGGTCTAGGGAACAGAGGCTCAGAGACTTGCCCGATGTCTGTAGCTAAAAAGAGGAGGAGCAGGTACTCTTCCCACTACACCACAGAGAGGCCATGGGGAGCATGCCCTTTGACCTCACACAGGCACCCTCACCTCCAAGGAATACAGGATAGGGCCTGAGCTGTTCAGCCTAGCTCCTCTCCAGGTGTCCACTGGGCCAATGTCCCTTCTGTAGCTCTCACCTGGATATTGGGGTTCGGGGTACTCAAGTCTGTGTTGGCCAATACTGGCAGCTTCTGCAGCTCCAGCAGCAAGGGAGTGTCCTCCAGGGTCTCAGGAGGGGCAGCTCTGCCCGGGGCCAGGGTTGCTGGCTCAGGGAGAGTCCAGCGCCTCTGTCGGTGTGGCCCTGCCTGCAGGTGGGCTCTGGGGAGCAGTGGTGCCTCCTCCTCTTCCCTAGGAGAGTCGGGATCTGGGGAGGCTGAGGCCTGAAGGAGAGAGGGGGAAAGTGGGTGACTGAGGTCAGGCTTATCCCATGTGGACCCAGAAAAGGCTGGTCAAGGGGATGCAGGAGCCCTGGGTTCTGACTGATTCACAAACTCACACTGTGACTTAAACCCCTCTGCAGTGTATACGTGGAGCATGAAATCTAAACACTGCCTGCCTTAATGCCCTTGGTGGGTTCGTGAGAGTGTAGCCTGTCAGACAGTGGACTGTGTCCACAAAGCACGTTGACACTGATGCCAACATGAGGCATGAAAAAAGGAGGATTAATGTAATCCAGCCTACTCATTCTACAGATGAAGAAACTGAGGCCCAAGAAGGGAAGCAAGTTGTTTAAGACAATGGTTCAAAGTGCTGTTTGCAGACAACTTGCCTCAGAATCTCCTAGGGCCCTCACACACCAGTGCAGGAAGGCCCCTGGGGATGCGCCTGGTCCTGCAGGGGAATGGGTGGCAGGCTGGGCCTTTCCCCTCAGCTCACTCCCTGGCCACATGGCCCTGCCCAAGCCGTCCATGTGGGAGCTGTATTCCTTGGCATTTCTGACCACTGTTACCGGGCTCTTTTAAGTTTTGTTTTCTCAGCATCCCTGTAGCCAGCACAGCAGTCATTGTGATAAGCAAGCACGTTTACAAAAGTGGGAGTAGAGCAGCTGATTATCAGTAAAGCTGGTACAATAAGCAGGTTCTGTTCTAAAGGCAAAACAAGCTACTGAAATAATTAATTTTGTATTTTTCCAACATCCTTACTTTGGCTCAGATAGTGAGTGAAAGGCAGATACTGGTTGTCTCTGACTCCTGCCCCAGCGTTCGTCTGCTTACTCAGTGTTGCACTGGGGGCTTGGCAGCCCCCACCGACCTCCAGGCTGCAGCACTGCCCACGTCTCTGTGCCAGGGCAGGAAGAGTACTCTCCAGGGCTACCCTTACGAGTCCCAGGGGCTGGGAGCCTACGGATCCCGCCACACTCAGGCCACAGCCTTGACACTGTTCCCATCTCATACATGGGCCACTACGGTATGGCTGAAAATACACTGGTCTGGAGAGTCAGATAAGCTCTGCCTCTTACTAACTCCTTCAACTTGACAATTACCTCATCTGCAAAATAATAATTCCTACCTAGAAGGATTGTCAGAATGTTACGTATCTAATACTTCCACAGCATTTACTGTGTGCCAGGCACTATCCTACACACGTAAACACTCATTTCATCCATCAACCCTCAGAGGTGGGTGCTGTCATCCCCATTTTACAGACAATAGAAACTAAGGCTCAGAGAGGGCAAGTAACTTGCCCAAGGTCACACAGACATTTAGTGGTAAAGCTGGTATTGGAACCAGGCCGTCTGAGCCCAGAGACCATGCTATAACTACCATGCGATAAGGTGAAAGTATTGAGCATCCCCTTCACAAATGAGGGGTTTCCCACTCTCACTGACTCTCTTTCCTTGACTAGAAAAAGAGATTCAGAATCTTCTGTCTCTCCCCCTGTGACCTCCCCTTCTGTGGTCCCCAGATCCCTGGCTCCAAGGCTCCTGCACTAAACATCTAATCCCAGGGCAGCTGTGGCCCATCTCAGCCCGGACCTGGATGCTCTTGCTGAGTCAAAGCACTCTGGCCTAGACAGCAAAGGTGGGTTAATAGAAGGTGGGAGGATGAGTAATGGAACAACTCGACCCCTCTCCTGACCAATCCTGGAGGCCTGGAACATCCCCAAGTGCCATCTTCCTTGCAGCTGCCACCCACAATTCCACCAGAGCCCTAGCTGTCCCTGGGACTTCGCTCAGCGGTTCCACTCTGTCTGCAGCCTCTGGGGCACAGAGACAGGCAGTCTTGGGGTGGCAGGAGTCTAGGGTCATGCAGAGTTTGGCTCATCCAGATGCCCTAGGCTCGTGACACTGGGCTTGCCTGTGGCAGGTGGTATGGTGGTTCTCATCTGGGGAGAGCTGTGGCTGTCACAACTGGAGAGGGCTTCTACCAGCATCTAGTAGGCAAAGGCCAAGAATGCTGCTATATATGCAACAATGCACAGGCAGTCCACAGAATTATCCAGCCCAGGATGCTAACAGGGCTGTTGTTAAGAAACCCTGCTCTAGAGTCAGGTGGCCTGGGTCTGAATTCTGCCAGCAGCTTGGCTTCTGACTTAGTGGTCCTTGCAGAAGATGTAACCTCTGTGACCTTCCTCATTTGTGAAATGGGAACAATGAGGGGAAAGAGCCTAGCCAGGCCCTGATCTCCAGGAGGTGCTCAAAATGATCATTTCCAGCCCTCCTCCCACCCTTTCCTCTCCTTGTGCCCAGTTGGACCACAGGATGAGCAAAGGACAGAGCCAGTCCTGGCAAAATGTCACAGCCACACACACCACCTTTCCTCTCTGGAGCTGCTCTTAGAGAGTCCTGCTCTGTGAGTCAGCCCCTAGGAACTCCTGGGAGTGGAAAGGGGCGAAGGCAACATCCCGTCTTCATCTTCGTTCCCTCAGTAGCCCACCCTGAGACAAGGATTCAAGCGCAAGTGGTTCCTTCTGAAGGTGATCCCAGGAGACACCAGCAGGGGGTGGGGGAGCGGGACAGGGGGGAGGCAGCTGATAAAGACGCTCTGTGAAGCTAGCAACCACAGTGGGCAGCTGGTTCTCAATCCCACCAGGCACCTCTGGCAGCCAGGATGGTGCACGCGCCTCAGAGTTACCCCACCAGAGGGAGGGAGCTGGGGTACTTATCTACCCACTAGCTAATCACTGGTGGAAAGTTGCTGGGGAAAGGGGTGAGGATCAGCTCTCGAGGCACTTCAGGCTGGCCAGGTCCAGTGAAAGCCTGCAGGCAACTGGACACTGGCAACAGGAGGTAAGGCCTGGGGGGTCATGGGCAAAGCACCCAGAGCCCCGACATGGAACCAGACTGTGGGCACACCTTACACACCCAGCCTGTTGGGGCTCCTTATTCACTGTCTGTCATTTATTCCAACTAGAGTAGAAGTGCTGTGCAGGGAGGGGCTGTGTCTGCCTTGTTTGCTGTATCCCCAGTGCCTAGTACAGTGGCTGGTACATTGCAGGAGCTCAATAAGTCATTGCTGAGTGAAGAAATGAACACCAACAACCCTGAGGAGTGAGTATGACTATCTTTATGATAAAAATGAGGAGGTTTTCGGTCAAGATGGCAGAATACAGTCCCCAGCATCACTCTCTCCCACACATCAACCAATTTACAACTATAAAAAAGCAACAACAGCCAAGCTGGGACTGCTGGAGCTCAGAGGAAGAGAAGGAGAGACTTACGGAGTGCATGAAGGCAGAAGAAGCCACGATGAGAGAAAGAAAAAGCTGCTCTGACCATTTCGTGCCACAGCAGCTTCCAGGCTGGAGCTGCTGAGCACGTAGAGCAGGAGCTGGCAAAAGCCACAGCTGTGCCCTTCAGATGGAGTTGCTTGGAGGCAGCAGGGGAGAAGAGGGCCTTGGTGGCCCCCAGGCCAGCAAGACCACTAAAAGGGTTCCTGTGGACCCACACAGGAGTGAGGAGCCAGAACAGCTGGAAAAGGGGAGCCATTCAGAGGCCAGTGAGTCATCACAAGGGACTGGTGCACAGTCCATCCTATGGGAGGTGTTTGCAGCATGGGTGGTGGGGGAGATGGGCCCACCAGGAGAACACTGGGGCACAGCAAGGACAGCTGATCTGCCCCCAATCAGCGTGGGACCACTCAGAGGAGATGGTCAGGAATATAGAATTGCATGGGATGCAGTTTGATGAAAAGACTCAGGCCCAGATCAGAGTTTCTACACAACCCAAGTGCACCAGGTCTCTGGAGAGCTGGAAGTACCTATAAGGTCAACCATTAAAACCTGAGCTGCACAAAAAGCCTTCCCTAGGGAAACAGCAGCAAAGCAGGAATTTAGCTCAACCACAGAGCTCAAGTACTGGTTCCCACAGGAAGTTCCCCCATTTTAGAAGTAAGCAAAGGACAAAAAATTAGTTCCGGCCCAGCCACACTGCCAGCGCCTCGGAGCCCGCCCGGGGAGCAGAGGTATGGAGCCGAGGACTGGACCCCCCTCCCATAACCAGGCACAACACTGGCACCAAGGAGAATGCCAAACACATCACTTCCATGTGGGTGGCTCACCACAATAACAGCTGCCGTGAAAGCAGCTAGATGCCATAACCACCGTGCAGATGGTCTGCCAGGCACTGGGGTGCACTGACACAAGGAGAGTCACCAGCAGAGACCAAAGAAAAGAAGAGGATGTCTTTCCACAAAGCCCATTTCAGAGTGACAGAAGAAGCATCTGCTCTATGGTATTATTGGGGGACCTGAACACACCTCTCAGCACTGGACAGACCATCTAGGCAACAAATCAACAGAGTAACCATTACTCTTCCAGAAAGAAAGAAGAAATCTACTAGGGTTATCAGTGGTGGGGGGGAAGGAGAGGGGGAGAGGGAGAGATGGGACAAGGGGCATAAAGAATAAGTACGATTTGTAACAACATATATGCTAGTAATATTGATTTGATCAACGTATGTCAATGTTGAACCCCTAAGATATGTATAATCAATTATGATTCAATTTAAAAAAATGAGGCTATGGGGGCTGGGGGACAGGGGTAAGTTCTTAAAGATTACAAGAACAGAGCTAAGATTCAAACTCAGCTCTGCCTGATTTCGACACCCACGCATTGGTGCACACACACATGCATGTGGACAGACACTCATGATGACAGCCCCTCACATGCCACCATCCTCTGTATTCACAAAGCATGTCCTCTCTCATCATCTTCTCTGACAGGTAAATGTGGTGGTAATGAGTGCAGGCTGGACTCCATGTGACCTGGGTTCAAATCCCAACTTGTATACTTACTAGCTGTGTGACACTGGGCAGGTTACTTCATCTGCCTTAGTTTCTCCCTCTGTAAATTAGAGAAACGCCAGTGCCTGTCTTACAGGATTGTTGAGTTAGAAGGGTGCCTTGCAGTAAATGTTACCTGCAAAATGGATGACAGATGGTTCTCAGAGGGGAGCGAGAGGAGAGATAAGGAGCACCCCTCCACCAAGCACTGTGTTAGTTCTTTCCATCTTATTCAGGTCTGAAGGCCCCACCCCCACCACTGATGCAGAATTTCTTGGCAGATGAATTCTCACAATGTTCTGAAGCAAATTCTGAGGCTCCAGCCTGTTCAAGATCATCTGTCCTGTCCCACAAGACCACCTCCCCCATCTGAAAAGTTTACATGTGGAGTTTCACACGTGTACAAATATACAATTCCATTATTTTGGGGGATATCACTGCCCTGGTAGAGAGGAGATACATCCTGAGATATGTCTCCACCAATTCTCTCTCTCTCTCTCTCCACACACACACACACACACACACACACACACACACACACACACACACACACACACACTCACTCACTCACTCACTCACATGCCAGGGTTGGCCAGGCAGCCAGCCCCTGACCCACATGTTTCCAGTTAACATAACAGAGTCCTGACACCCACAAGCCCTTGCTGCACTTCTTGAACCTGCCTCTAGCCTGTCAGCCCTCCTCATAGCTGCCCTGTCTTCCATTCTCTGTGTCTCAGGGGTCAGGAGCCTGTTCCAGATAATGAGATCCAGTTGCCAGGTGCAGGCCAGCCCCAGCTGGAGGGCGGAGGGCACAGTCCCAGCTGCTGAGGCCAGGCCCATCCACGCAGAGCCAGGCTACATACTTGGTCGCCTGCTGCAGCCTCCCAAGAGGTGCTGGAGACCTAGCATCCAGCAGCCACTGCCTCTTCAGCCAGGACTGAGGACTCTGGATAGAGGAATGGGGCTGGATTCAGCCCTCAGCTACCCTCCTAATCAGTATGTACTATCTAACCCAACCCACCCTGGCACCCAGGGGAGACCTCAAAGCACCTCATCATCACAAGAGTAGCACTAACAGAGCTCACTATCCAAGCACAGGGCCGGTTTCATGGTGTGCAATTGTGTACGGGCACAGGGCTCCAGTGTGTTTAATGCTCTGCTCTTGCCATCTTGAAATATTTAACAGGCCCCACATGTTCAACCTGCATTGGGCCTCACAAACTACGTAGCCTTGGGCTGGCCAGATAGCTCAATTGGTTGGAGTGCAGCCTTGCAACCCCAAACTGGCCAACCAATAAAAAAACAAACTATGTAGCCAGTCCTCCCGAGCACCCTAAATGTACTGACTTGTGAATCCTCACAACTGCCCTTTGGGTAGGTACTAGGATCATCCTTGATTCACAGCAAGGCAGCCAAGGATCAGAGAGGTGAAGTAACTTGCTTGGGATCACACAGCTAGGGGCTGGCAGAGTGGGATTTGAGGCAGGTGGTTTGGCTGGAGAGTCTGCTCTTTACTAACACAGGCAGGGGCTACACCTTCTGGTTTGCTGCCTGCTATTCTGTGGTGCTGAATGTGCTGAATGAACAAAACACTCAAACTGGATGTTTTACTTTTCATATCCATCTCTCCCTTGGATCCACTTAACAACCCTGTGAGATGTGAAGGTGAGGAACTTGCCGAGATTAGCAGACTGTAACACAGAGAGAGCTTGGGGACCTGCTTGGAGCCACTGAGCAGACAAGCCTCCGGGCCCCATTCCTGTCCTTCCCTCTCTCCTTCAACCAGCTCTCCCATGTTTCCAATGCCTAAGAGAGGGAATGGTCTGGAAGGAGAACGAAGGTCATAGTCAAGGTCCAGGGAAATGGTCAGTTGCAGGAGGGGGCTAATGGGCAAGGCCACAGGCTTGGGTTCTAGTTCTCTGACACTCACTGATTGGGCTAAAAAGACCCCAATCCAAGAAAGTCAACCTTCAAGACAATGCCGGCTTCTTGGTGCCTGGCGAGGTGCCTTGGTCTTTTGACCCACCATGTCTCTCCCACAATCCAGCCCCTGCTTCCAGGCAATTGGCTGGACAGTGGGCCAGGAATGAAGTGCTGATTAAACACCACCTACCTCGTGCATGACACTGCCCCAGGCTCCTTCCTCTACTTCTTCCCTCTCAGGCCATACCTTCGACAAGTGCTTCCTTCCAAGGTGACTAGATCCCTGCTGTAGCAGTACATACTTCCCTGATACTGCCCCATGTGGGAACCCCCTCCACCCTCTTGTGGCACTAACTCCTCTTTCCCCTACCCCAAGGTCTTCCTTGCTGGCCTAGGAGGTGGTGGGTGCCAGGGTTAGGAGCCCAAGGGCTCTGGGATTCAGGAAAGCTGGGTTTAGATCCTGGCTCACACATACTTAACCTTGGGTCACTGCGCCCATCAGTTTCCTCAACCCTAAAATAGGGATAAGAAGACAAGGATCACAAAATGCTAGGCACGGTGGCGATTTGGGTGGTATTCAAATCCTCACTAGAACAGAAGACACCCAAGGCAAGCTGTGTCATTCTCTGCCTGTCCAGCACCCAACAAACTGCCTGGCCCCACTCTCATTTTTTTAACAACGGTGTCACTACCCATGTGTACCATGCTTTTTCATCCAGCACTCCAACTGACACAACAGGTTCCTACTCCCTTTTCTAGTGTAAGAGTAAACTGAGGCTCAGCAACAGGCCTTCCCAGAGTAGAGGGGGCACATTTTGTTCACAAGGCTAATGATTCTTCTCAAGACTTCAGATGAGCAGGCTGAGGCATGACATGCTGGGATGCACCATAAGGTCCCCAGCATGGCTCTTTACAATGACAGACCTAAGCTCCCAGCTAAGCTTCACTTCTCTGTGCCTCATTTTCATCTGGAAAATGGGGAATGCCCATGTCAAAATGATGTAACAATGAAACAACATATTAAATAATTTGTACACTCCAAGGTCAAGGGTTTGGATCCCCCTACCAGCCAGCCACATGAATGAATGAATGAATGAATGAATGAATGAATGAATGAATGAATGAATAAGTAAATTGTACAGACTCTGTAAGGTCCAGAGAATGCTCACTTCCCTTCCGTCATTCCCCATTCTTAGATCCAGTGGGTTTTATGTTCTTCAGCTTCTTCATAAAGGTCTTCGGGCTAACCACTTATTTCTGACATGCCACCCAAGCCACTAAAATAGCAGTCTGCATTCTCTCAAAATGATTCCTTAATTAACAACTTTGAAGTGTAAGGGCACTAACACAGATCACACAGACTGCTGGAACGATGTCAGAGCTAGAGGGGACCACAGAGATGACTTAGCCTTCATGATATTTTTCAGTTATATGTGTATATATGTACTAGGTCACAATGTAAAACATATGTCTTAATGTGAGATACTTCAAAAATGTATGAAAATCATTGATCTAATATTGCCTCCCAGGGAAAAAATAAGCAGATTAATTAATTTTTTTTTTTTTTTAAAGATGACCGGTAAGGGGATCTTAACCCTTGACTTGGTGTTGTCAGCACCACGCTCAGCCAGTGAGCGAACCGGCCATCCCTATATGGGATCCGAACCCGGGGCCTTGGTATTATCAGCACCACACTCTCCCGAGTGAGCCACGGGCCGGCCTAGCCTCTTCTTTTTAAATGCAAGGAAATCATCCACAGTGAGTCACTTGTGTGTTAATGACACACTGGTACCAGAACCCCAGGCCCTGGGCTCCAAGCTCTGGTTGTTCTTCAAGGCACTAATTTGCTTTAATGTGTTTTTGAAGACTCTTTCAGGCCCTGAACTGGGGCTAAGACACCACTTTGACTCTGAAAACTCATCCTCTACACTGAGGGAAGATTTGGCAAACATACTAAAAATAATTATAGTACAAAGCGATAAGTAGTACAATTGAAAGTATTTATGCCAAGTGAGCAGAAACAATGCCAATTTAATTAATTTTATTACTGCTGTCATCTCTGCCTTAGAGGCGGGACTGGCTAGAGGCTTGTGAATTTGTCAACAGCAGTGGAGGCAGGGAAATGGGGTGTCCCTCAGGAAACATTTGGCAATGTCTGGCCCTGTCAGGGTAGGGTGTGGGTATCTGGTGAGTAGAAGCCAGGGATAGTGCTAAATGTTCTACAATGCACAGGACAACAGTTCCCACAACAAAGAAATATACCACACAAAACAGTAGTGCCCAGGTTGGGAAACCCTGGTCTCCAGGATACATTCTCAACAGGGCAAAAATTGGATCTTGTGGGGGGGGCAAAAAAATCTTAGCTATTACAATACTTTGTGACACTCCAAAAGGCCATAGAATATAAACAGACAGCATGTCTGTGGTATTAAAATTTCAGGTGGGTGGGTATCGGATCCCACTACCACCAGCCGCCAAAAAACCCCAAACCAACGAACCAAAAAAAAAAGATAGAAAGACAAATAGAAAAAGAAAAGAAAGAAAAAAATTTTTTTCAGCGGGGAGAGGATGGGAACAGGGAAAAAAAAAAACCTAGAAGGCTCCTTAATGGGACAGAAATCAACATAGAGAAAGTCTGGTCTAAGACACACCCTAGCGTGCAGTCCCTTTCTTCCCACGGCCTCTGGGGGGCTTCTGGGCACTAACAGCACAGCCCGAGCTCTGCCCAAACTCGCTCACAATCTCCCGCCGCCCTGGGTACCTCAATGTCCTCATCTCGAACATGGTAGAACTACTCTGGCCTCCTTCCAGAACAGCTCAGAGCATGGAAGGACCAAAGACCACCTGCCACACACACGCACGCCGGCTACTGCATCTACCCTGATACAAGTCGGTCGGCTTTGTCCCCATGGGGATGAATGTCCACCGCAATGCAAGGGGCAACGGACTAGAGTGTTGACCCCTCAGTGACTGGAGACGCAGGACTCGACACACCATGGTTTCTCTCCATGGCCAACACCACTCTTCCATCTCATGTCTCTATCTTATACCCCCAGGGCCCACCAGGAAAGTGTCCCACTCCGTCTCGGCGACGTCTGCATTTCCAAATCCACAGTGATACACAGTAATACACAAGTCCGTGGCTGACTCCTCTCCAGCACGTTGGAGAGCCCAACTCTACCCCAGCTGGTCTCGATTCACCCGGAGGGGCTCAAATCCTCGGCGGATTCGCGTTAGGCTGCACCGGGGGTCCCCTGACCTTCTGAGCTTCAGCAGCCCCAGCCCGCCACTCCGAAAAGCTCCGGTCCCATCGAGCGCGCACCTGGACAGGGCGGCTGCGGGCGAGGCTCGCTCGGGGCGAGGGCGGTGCGGGGCCGCAGCGGGCCGACCCGAGAGGAAGTGAGATTTCTCCCCGGGCTGGCCCGCCACAGCCCGGTCAGGGCTCACAGCCACGCGCGGACAGCGGGGACCCCTGCAGGTTCCCACGCACCTGGCCTTCGCCGGTGCCCGGGGGCGTCCGGCCGGCCTCCGCCCCTC